TTTTTTGTGTGTGTGTGTAAAGAATAGTACCTGTGATACAAAAATTTATTATGTTTTTATCTGCAGGATTGAAGATAGAAACTCACTTGTATCTCTTTTAAGCAATTCATGTGAATTATGTTAAGTAACAAAAATTGAAGCTGGATCAACATTAATATCTACTGAATGTGTTGATCTAAAAATCATTGTGCCACTGATATTCAATATTATACAAACTAAACCAAAAGAGATTCAAGAAGCACACATGAAAATGTAATAAAGTTAATTTATTAAATGCCAACTTAAATAATTAAGAGGTTAAGCAGACAGGAGAATAAGTGAAGGTCCATTTTGCAAAAGATGAAAATTAATTTATAATTTTTTCAAACGAATATTACACATGATATTGGATAAAGTAAATTCAACATGAAGTCATTTTAGCAAATGGATTTCAATCTTAGACCTTACTGTTCTCTCTATTATCCCCAACTATTTAATTTCTCAGACACTTGTCACCCTATTACTAAATGAAAATTATAATTTAGAAGACTGTTATTATTTTTACAAATTAATTTAGCTCCCCCTAGAAAATCTATGATTTTCATACATGGGACTTACAAGTATTCCCACAATAGTAGAGACAGTTAAAGAAAAATTGTATTTTCATCTACCACTTTCTGAAACTTATTTTATGGTTAACATTGCTACTTATAAAACAGCTAAGCCATGACCTCTGGTGCTTGTAGTGAGAAAATAATGCATGTCTACCTGGTTAAGTTCTTATTTGGTATTGAACTCTCAGTGGAGGTCAGAGCAGTTACCCTAGTCCTCTGACTTGCATATCTCAAATCGAACTTCCAAACCATGATTAGAAGCAAAGGTGAGTGTGTCTCTGGAATTATCAGCACAGTCACTGTCAAAGGGCTCTGTCCCTGTCAAAGGGCTGAATCAAGAAGAGAGTTCCCATTTCTCAGATACTCTAGAACTTAGACCCAGTAAGAGATAACTGAACCAAAACAATAAGTGATGTCCTGCCACTCTTAAGAAGGAGCCCAGCAACCAGGCATTACAGAGGGAGCCCTGCCGTGCCAGCTCACTAAACCGAGGGGAGAGAGGATTGGTGTGGACTTTGTTTCATCTACTATGGATCCTTAAGTGTTTTTACCATGGTGTATGTAGTATATTGCCTTGAGTAAGTGGCTTGATATGCTCTTATTTATTGTATGCTCTAATTTTTCAAAATATATTTCCAAAGACTAAGTGGTTGTTTTTCAAAACAATTTCATCAGACTTGATATGCATGGTGTCTTCCGAGCCCTGTGAGAAGCAGAACTCCCAACCTCCAGCTCTGTATTAAGTAAAATGTCTTTCAAATGAAGACGGTCCTTAGTGACCAATAGTTTTTTTTTTTTTTTATGTGCTTATTAACAACTTGAGCATCTTCTTTAAAGAATACTAATTTGAATCTTTAGCCTTTTCAAAACTAAATTGTTTGTCTTTTCGCTGTTGATTTGTGTGCTTTAATGCATTCTAGGTGTTAGATTCTGATAAGTTATATGATTTGAATTATTTTTCCCCATTTTGGATGTTTTCTCTTCTCTTAATTTCTTGATAACACAGTTTTCAACTTTGTTCAACTTTTGGATATATTTCTGGATGTTCAACTTTTCTTTTTTTTTTTTTTTGCTATTGTTGCTTGGACTTTATACCTCAAGTAAGAACCCTTTGAGGGCCCTCCCTGGTGGCGCAGCGGGTTAAAGCACAGCACTGAGAAGCTAAAGCCACTTCCGCATGAGTTCGATTCCCGCCTGCCCCGGAGGTGACCACATGGCGTGGCAGACCTCTCCTGACCCGCCCGCTGCTCCCCTCAGCAGTGTACTTCAGAGATCTGCCTGTTCTGCTCCCCACTCTGTCTCTGGTGAAGCCTCTCGCCGCCCCTGAGCCTCTGGCCTGTACCCCAGTTCTGTATGAACAAATAAATAAATCTTAAAAAAAAAAAAAAACCCATTGAAAATCCATAGTCATGAAGATTTACCCTTTTTACAAAAGTTTAATAATTTTAACTTTTATATTTAGTTAAGTTAAAGTAAATTTTTGTATGTGACATGAAGTAAATAAGGAAGGAAGGAGAATGGCCGGTAAAGGTTGAAGAACATTTTGGGTGTGATGAACATGTTCATTATCTTGATCGTGGATATATCTGTGAAAACTTACAACATTTTATACATTAAATATGTGCAGTTTATTATATGTTAATAAACATTAATGAAACTATAAGTACAAAAAGTCATGGGAAAATACAAAACTGTATCTTGAAAATCAATCATTATAATGTTCTAAGAAATCAAAGTGGATTTAAAATATTTCAAAAATGAATTCTCAGCACACTTTGATCTTTAGTGTGTCATTAGAAAACATTGTAACCACAGATTAATATACTGTCATTACAATCTCTGAAGATTTGTTCTGATCATGATTCTGTGCTTAATTTTTCAGTCTAATTTAAACATGCACCATTGATTCATTTTTTAAACAGTGTAGCCAGCATTAATTTAGTTTATTTTATGTAATAGAATATGTAAGTGCCAGATATATAGTAGGTATTTGCTAATCATTATTAATTGAAAGAGGACGACAATAAAGAATTAATAATTTGTATATTTTGGCACTTCACACACAAAGGTTAGAAAAACAGTCTTCTGTTTTCTTAGAACAAATATAAAAAATATTACTTCATAGAACAGATAGTAACCTAGAATTTTCTTGTTTTAAGTAATAACTTAGAGCAACTGTATCTTTTGACATTAGAACTTTTAATCTCTTAAAACCATTCGATTTCATGCTATGTTTTTATAGCATTGAAAAAAATCTACTACAGAGAAATTTGAAACATAAATTCATTTTCCTTACTAAAAATGCTACTCGTTTGACAAATAGTAAATGGGTGCCTTTGAGCAATAGATTTTCTTTTTAAATATCAGTAATACCTCTGAGTGTCTTTATTTATCAACATAAAATAGAGCTTCAAAAATGAACTGCAGCATTTGAAAGAGAGATGAGTTAGAAAATAGACTATAAGTCATAAATGCCAAATTATATACACCTTTTAAAAAGTAAGGTTCATAAATCACATTATTAGTATTCACAGTCATGAGTCCTGTTTTGTTATATTACACAGCTAGCACAACATACATTTAACATCTCCTAAATAAATACATTAAATAAATCCCCAAATGAAATGCAGTAAGAATTCAATAATTTATAATTATTGCTTAAATGGATTGTAATTTTGTAGAGTCAAACCATGATTTCTATCACATTGTCTTAATTATTTTAATTTTATACAAAGTATTGAAATCTATGGTATAAATCCATTGTCTTCTTTTTTTTTTTCAAAATTGTTTATCAGGCTGAAATATTTCACATTCTCACATACATTTTAAATTCAATTTATTAGATCCTATAATAAGAAGGAATTTTTCAGATTTTTGCTGAGTGTATGTTTACCCTATACATATATATATAATTTTGTTAAGATGGGAAAAATTCAAATATGACATATAATATAAATAAAATAAAACTGGGAATACTACTTTAGAAAATTTATGGAATAAATGCAAATATGTAATTTTCATTTTGATTATGTCTTAAATTTCATTTCAGTATAATTTAGAGAGTAAAATGCTGCCATAACAATATACCATAGACTGGTTAGCTAAACAGAGGGATTTATTCTTCCATGTGTGGAAACTGGATTTCTAAATAGAGAATCTGCATTTTCAGGTACTGGTAAAGGCTCTCGTCCTGGTTGACATCTACCTGCCTTTCATTATGTCTTCACATAACTTTTCTTTGGTGTATGCATGAGGTGAGACAGAGAATTGGGGGAAGGGAAGAGGCAAAGACAGGGAGAAAAAGGAAGCGAGACAAGTTCTGAAGTCTCTTACATGGGTACTAATTTCCTCACAAAGGATCCAGTCTCCTGACTTAATCTATTACTACCATATAAATAATCCAGCTGCGTATTGGATGTTAGGACTTCAATGTGAGTTTTGGGGTGACACATTGAGATTTTAAGTCATCTTTCCTTGATGAAATACCAAATTATACATTTTTATGTGCTACTTACCTTCTCATTTCTTTACCTTCATATCATTTGAAGGAACTCAAGTTTTCTACCCAGTTTCATTTTTTAATTAGGTTGTCTTTTAGTACTGAACTATGATTTTTCCTATACATTCAATGCAAACCCTTTATTAAATGTCTAACAAACGTGTTTTCAGTTGCATATTTGCTTTTGTAATGTGCCCTCGGACCAGCAGACATTTGATGAATCAAAATTATTAATTATTTTACTATTGCTAGTGACTTTTGTATTCTTAATGAAATTCTAGGGAAAGCTATGTCTACTTATGGGATATATGAGATTTTTCTCTGCTTTATTTTTCTAGAAGTTATAATATAAATTGAAGTTGTAGGATAAGGTTGGTGATCCCTCATGATTTTTTAAAAGATGTTTCAATACAATTGTTATTATTTTTCTTGAGATACTTTTTTTATTGAGGTCAGTGAGGTGTAGAGAATGAGGATGTAGTGTTCCCTTTACATATGAATGGCCTTAGCTTAATGATAATTTATTTGTATCTAGCTAGTTACAGGTGGGCAGGAGAGCTCCCAATAATTTCTTTTTCTTCTGATAGGCTTGTCTGACTTGTATCAGAGTTTTAGCCTAGTCTTCTAATGAGTAGGAAGAATTTATATATTCTTAGAGAATTTTTGTGGGTTTTGGTCTATTTTTTCATATGTCTATATAGGGTAAGATTCACCAGTGAATCTTATATTATGTATTAATATGTATTTAATTATGGGCCACATTTTACTAATTCCACACATTTTAATTTTCTTTTAATTTTCTTATGTAATATGAACATTATCAAATTAAGTTGGAAAAGCATGTGGATTTTTTAAACTTCCTATAACAAGTGTTCTATTTATTCCAGCCAAAGAGTACATTTACTTACAGGTTTAATGTCCATCAAGATTGTTATCCTCTGCTTTGATTCTACTCTCCCATGATCATGTATGCAAAGTATATCAAGGAGTTCATCCTTTCCTCTTGGATCATTGCTAGACGATACTTGTTGCAAATGCCTGAAAACAGACATTTCATCAATTTTTTTTCCATTTAAAATAAACCCATTCATAGTGAAACAATAATTCTTTCTCCAGTTACTTTATTATATCAGGAACAGGTACTTCAAATTGATTTGCTTATAATTATGAATCTCATTTTCCAGTACTATTTCTATTAAAGAAAAGCAAATTCATATTTAAAAACATTTCATGCTTTTTTGTATTAAAATATTATATCCTGTAAATATATCAATAAAAATAGTGTAAAACACTAAATTTCCAAAGCCTTTTACTTGAAATTATTTTCCAATACTAATTTTAATATTTAAAAATAACATATATACTTGTTTTAGTATAAACAACATTTAAAAAATTGTTATTTCAAACATCCATAGGAACAGTATTAGCATCACAGCTATTAATAAATTTGTACACATAAAATTCTAACATTCATGTGAAATGTCAGTGAATTAAATAATAGAAATATTAGAGAACAAAATATAGTATAAGCAAATATATGAAAATTAAAAATGGCATATAATTGGCATAATTCCCAGTTAGTAAAGAGATTCTGTGACACATAGAAATGCATAGACTTTGCTAAATTAAAGGCTTTTTCCTGAGTAACCAAGGCTAGCCCATTCTCATCAGGGGAAGGAAAAATAGTTCTGTCACTACCATTACTGACTCAATTTTTACAGTCCAATAGTTTTGGGGTCACTGAAAATTCTTGTTTAATGAGGGAGGCTATCTCCCCTGTGACACATTTTTTTTTTCTTCCCACAGAAGATAAAATTTTTGAGAATTTTACAAAGTCCTAAGGGTAATTTCTAGTAGGACTGATAGCCTTGAACCTTGGAAGCTCTGGCAGCAAAGGATATGGAATTTGTACAATGCTTTATATTTCTAGGCCAAAGTAACTATATAATTATTTTGTAATTATAAAGCAATCATTTACTGGCAACTAGAAGTATTTCATTTTTTATGGTAATTCCAACTATAACTACCATATAATTTGTAAGAAAGAAATAGCTGTGCAATTACTCTGTATTAACAGAGTAATTACCAAATATGTCCAGGCTTATTTGTGTCTTAAGAAATAGAGATTCCCACACCTGCAACTGCAAATTACCCAGCAGATTTGTATATTTCCTTCATGTATTATATAATAAAACAAAGGCAGTGTGGTTGATTTTTATTTTATCATATCATTGTATTAAGTTATCAATTGAATGCAGTATTTTGTCACAGCTGTCTGCAGTTTCAATTGGATTGTTCCATCAATTCTTTTGCATAGCTAAAAGAAATAGAATAGTAAAAAGACCAAAAGTTTTAAGTCAAATGAGTATGTCTGAAATCCGACTTGCCAACTCTATGCAGAGTAACTGGATAAATTACATTACCTAAAGTTTCATCTGTAAAATTATATTCATAAACTTTAAGTGTTAGGGATTTTATGAACTAGATAAAATATATTATTCCACTATAAGAAATATGTTATCTATCATTATGATTGGTCCATTCTGTCAGTTATCAATTTTCCAAACACTGTGCCAGGTACCCCGTTATGTAAATCAGAAAATAATGGCAAGAAAACACACGTAGGTCCTGTCCCTGCAGAAATTAGGGCAGCATAGAACGTATTAGTTTTAATTGAAGTATCTCACACATATAAGCGCAAAGTTAACAACTGCCATGATTGCCTTGAAGGGAAGGGTACAATGCAGTAAAAACTTTACTTTCACGACATTATTTTTCACAAGAGTTAAGTGTGATCACATGTAAACCAGTGCACAAATGTTCATCACAGATTTATCTGTAAGAGTCCCAAACAAACTAGACAGACTAAAACACAGATATCACTCAGCAATAAATTTTGTTCAGCCATAGAAAGGAATTTTCTATTGGATAATTGCACAACTTAAATAAATCATTAACGAAGTGTACTTAGTGAAAAATCAAAATTGTCTGTACTATGTGATTCTATTTATCGATTTTTGCAAAGACCAAATTTTAGAAAAGGGAAGACATGTAAAACTACAGTAGTCAACAAAAAGTGTTTCAATCAAGAAACATTGTATTTATCTACATCCTTGGTTTTTGCTTACTTGCATTTACTTACATACATGTAGTTGTAAGAAATAAAGACTTTCTGGTGTCCTTTAAGCTTTTCCCCAATTACAACAGTTTTCCAACTATGGTACAATATCACAATCAGGATTTGCTTCTGGAAATCTTCCCTTTTCACAAAGCTCCAAAATGAATGAACTAAAAGCTATCTTCAGAGGAATGAAGCCTAGGCAGGAGGATCATCACATTAAGGAAAACATGAAAGTATGCACTGTGTTGTGTGCGTGTGTGTGTGTGTGTGTATCTGTGAGCATATCAAAAAGAACGACATGCAGAAATACAACATTCAATTATATGATCACCCCAACTACCTATGAATTTCCTTCTAAACATGAGGTGAAATATATATGGCACAGAGATGAACCCTCAATACAGCTTTGAGACAATTTTAAGCTTTTACTACTTGAGACCAAATACTTGACAAGGCCAATGACAACTTGAGACAATTTTAAGCTTTTACTACTTGAGACCAAATACTTGACAAGGACAATGCCAACTTATTAACAAGGACCAGTTTAATATTTTTAGCAACTTTTACATTAAAATAGCTTTAAAACAAAATATTGCATCTTATGGTTTGAAAATAGCAGTTGTTTTATTTTTTAAAGATAAACTTTATTGTAATAGACTTGAAATGTTTAATTAACTCTCACTACATAGAACAATAGAAAAAAAGAATCTTTAAATTTCATAGAGTAATTTTTAAAGTTCCCCTCTTGCCTTTTATTGAGGTGTCAAGCTTTTTTATTTTTTTTTGCAGAGCTAGCAAAATGAAGTTTTTCATAATTTATTGAAATTCACTTAATGCTCTGTCAGCCATCACCATTTATTGCAGTATTGTCCAGACAACTCAGAATACAATAATAGGAACAAGATGATATATTACAGAAAAAGCCAAGAAAGGAAGAGCCTCAATTAGACAAAGAAAATGAGATTGTTTTAAGATGTTAAAAGTGAAAGTGTCTATATTTCATAATATCTTTGGCCTAAGCAACTTACATTACAAGGGAAAAATAAAAGAATAAATTTTTATTGCATAATTAGAAGGCTCTGACTCTTATCCAATAAGTCTAGAGTGATAGATGTTTGAATCAGATTAATTGATAGGTAGCAAATGTCAATAACCCTAGAGAATAAGTTACTGCAAAAATCCAGCCATCCTAACAGTGCCGGTCATTATAAGCTAACGTTGCAAATCAAACTAGTTGAAAAGTAATAACCTGTTTTCCAAAATATCTGGAAAGTATCAGTGCAGCATAAGTAGCATCTTCTAGTGCCTGCAACTTTTAAAATGTGAATGGTAAGTGGGAAAGGAGAATTCTGTGAGTCAGAAAAAAATTAAGTCATTCCGAATATAAAAAGAAGCCACATATTTGTAATTTATGAAAAAGTTACCTAAAGGTAATATCCTGATGCATGTACAGATTTTTTCCTTTAGAGGTTTCCAACTTAAAGAAAATTCAGTTATTAGTATTATCTTCCTTTATAACTTGTTCTCTGACCTGAATTTGATACATCACACATTTGAAACAATAAGAGTAGAGGGAAATACATACTCCTGGTGAAAAAAAAAAAATCTTGAGTGGGTTATGTGATAAATAATAATGATACTGTGACAGCAGTATTTTGTGTTTTCTCCATGAGTACTCCACGTGTCTGTATATGTATGCGTTTATTATTTTAAAGGATGTCTTCCCAATGCACAATGGACTGCTGAATAGTTATTAAAAAGTAAAGATGAGGGCCTCCCTGGTGGCACAACGGGTTAGGACACAGCACTGCAAGCTGGCTGCAGCCGTTTCAGTACAGGTTGGATCCCCCACCAGGAGGTGATCCACATGGTCCAGCAGACTTTCCTCACCCTCCTGCTGCTCCCCTCAGCAGTATACTTCTCCATCTGCCTGTTCTGCTCCCCATTTGTCTCTGGTGAATCCTCTCACCTCCCCAAGCACCTCTGGCTTGTATCCCAGTTCTGCATGAATAAATAAATCTTTAAAAAAAAAATAAAGATGAAATATTTCCATTAAAACAACATGGATGGAATTGGAGGGAATTATAATAAGTGAAATAAGTCAGAATAAGAAAGACAAATGTTGATTGAATAATTTCAGTCCTATGTGGACTATAAACAAAAGGAACATACAAGAGCTAAACCAAGCAAACTGCAGAAATCTAATGCAAACTTGAGACTACCAAAGGTATATGAGCATGGGCGAGGGGTTGGGGAAAGTGCAAGGGGAGGTTCCCAAAACATTGCTGTGAAAGATCATGATTTCTTTGGTGGTGAATTTGCTGTGATGACATATCGTTGTTGGTGTGCAAACCTGTATAGTAAATCACATACAATGTTGTAAACTAATACTGCCTCATTTAAAAGTAATATATTCAGTTTTGTCTCCACCCCCATTTTGAATATTACTACCAAGTGTTAGTAAGTCCATAAGTTTCTGAGAAGTCTTTACACACTACTTCATTATAAAGTGTAGTGCATTGTTGCCAAATGAGTTGATTTTTTGAATAAAACTATCTGTAATGATAGCATGAAAAAAGTGAATTTTTCACTGACTTGGATTTGGATGTCAGACATCATTTTTTAAAATGACAATAAAATATTAGTTTTAGAGAATAGTAAATTAGTTTGAATACTTCAAAATGTCACTCTGGGGCCAAGAAACATTAAAATCTGAAACAAGAGTCAGAAAAAGTTATTTCCCAGGAAATGGTCTATGTGTTGCATGTTATAATCTCAATTTGTCCTTTATAGCCTCTTAGAAAAGAAAAGAAAATATTTCCCACCCTTCAAAATAAGAGCTTTCCCAGATATCAGAGCCCCAACTTTGCCACCCCACTCACGCCCCACTTGCAGTAGTGTGATGTGGCTCCCTGGC